GGGTGCGGGGAGACGGAGGACCGAGGAGGACGGAAGGAGACAGAACGTGGGACGCGACTGGACAGATTGGAGACACAGATGCGGCCATTGGAAAGGTAGGTCCCAGGGCGGGGGTGGAGGACCGGAGGGCAGACTCTGGCGAGAAACGCAGAGAGCAGCAGGCACCGGGCAGACGTGTGGGGAAAGGCCGTGAGCCCTGCGGCATGGAATGGGTAGTGTGGCCGGATGTCACACAGGCCCCCGCCCGGGAGAGCCACACTTGCCCCGAGCCCTTCCAGGCACCATGGCCCCAATGTTTTGTTTTGTTTTGTTTGTTTAGTTTTGTTGTGTGTTGGGTTTGTTTGAGACAGGATCTCTCACTGTCACCCAGGATGGAGTGCGATGGTTGATCTCAGCTCACGGCAGTCCATCGACCTCCTAGCCCAAGCAATCCTCCCCACCTCAGGCCTCCCAATAGCTGGGTGAGTTACAGCGTGCACCACCTTGCCGGCCTATTATGTATTTAGGGATCAACGAGGGGTCTTACCATGTGGGCCAAGGCTGTCTCGAAGCTCCTGAAACTACGTATGGCCGATCTCTGTCTCCTCAGCCTCCCAAAATTGCTGGGTATTACAGACGTGACTAACCCGAAGCCCAAGCCAGCCTACCCCCATTTAATGCCTCGATCGATGGCTAACGGAGTCTCCGACGCGTCAGGTACTATTACCAATCCCCATCTCTACAGTGGATGGCGAAACTGAAGCTCAGAAAGCGCGCCACTTTTCCGGGCCGCGGGTGGCTCACGCATCGTATCCCCGAGACTCTTGGAGCGTGAGGCCGGGATCACTGGAGCGGGTCAGCGCAGATCAGACATCCTGTGAAAGCCTCCATTCTCTACTAAAAATACAAAAAAACGGCCGGGCGTCCGTGAATTGGGCCAGTGAACCCAGAGGCCAGACGCTTGCAGGTGAGCATGGATCAGCGCCACGCCACTCCAGCCCTGGCGACAGAGCGAGGACTCCATGCTCAAAAAAAAAAAAAAAAATAAAGGCCGCCACTTGTTGCCCAGGCCGCACAACACGGTACGGTGGAGAGGCGTGGATTCTCCTGAGCCTGTGTCAGTCCTTACCGGGAGAGCTTGCGCGCCAGGCGGGCGAGCGCCGAGGGCCGCAGGCCGTAGTCGCGCTCCAGCTCCTGGCGCGAGATCTCGATGTTGCCGGTGTACCAGAGGATCCAGCCCAGCAGGCTCAGGAACACCAGCAGCGCGCCCGAGTAGATGAGCAGGTCCCCGAAGTCGCGGCCGCGCACCTGCAGCTGCGCGAACACGCCAGTCAACAGCGCCGCCATGCCTGCCACGTCCAGCGCCACGGCCAGCAGCAGCGCCATCCGGCAGCGGCCCAGACCAGCCGCGGGTGCGGGCGCGACGGCCGGCGCGGACGGTGCACCCGGCGGGGTCCCCTGCGAGGCGCACACCGCTGGCACCGCCGCCATGGCCTTGCACCGCCGCCGCTGGCGTCCAGAGAGAGCGTTCCGGGGTGCGGCCCGGCCCGGGGCGGGGTCAGGGGACGGCGCCAGGTGTGCCAAGCTCCCGCCTGGTCACCTGAGCCCGGCTGGGCGCAAACCGACCCCGGCCATGGTTTCCGTGCAGGGGCTATTATTGCTCAGAGGCCTGCGCCGGTGGTAGCCAGGGGCACAGCCACGGGTGCCTCAGGGGCCGTGCCACCCAGGGAGGTCACACATGGTCAAAAATCAGGGCATTTCAGTGGTGGCAGCGTGGGACACTCGGAGCCGGGCGTGGCGTTGTTTCTGCTCAGTGTCCGCCTCCCGAAGCCAGTGCAGATTAGACAGTGCAGATCAGACAAGGCCCTTAGACGCCAAGGAGCTCTGGGACGCGAGAACCAGCAGTCGGGATGGTCTAAGAGGGGGGAAGCTCGGGGCTCAGCGGAAGCTGAGTTTCCTTTACTCAGAGCGTGTCTTCTGGAGTCTCCTGTGTGCCCAGCGAATGAAGCCAAGAGAACAAAGACGGAAGAGACCCATCAGGTCCAGAGCGCACCCGTGGAGGAGGCTGGGCGAACCCCGACTGTCCTATGGATAGTCCTGGGGACCAGACGAGGCCCCTGCCCCAAGGAGTTCCCAGGTGTAACCACAAATTAAGGAGCCCTGGGGAGGTGACACAGGCACCCTCGTTACTTTTGTTCAGCAGGAGTCTCTGAGGCCTCCCCAGCACCATGCCGCGTGGGTGAGGTCGAGGACACAGAGAGATATCAGGCAAGGCTCCTGCCCCTTTAGGGTGGCCCTGACAACGGATCATAACCTCCCAGGGAGCTGATGGGGTGTGACAGGCACACTGCAGGCTGGAGGCACAGGTGGAGGGCAGGGAAGAGGACTGGCAAATCTACAGAATCCTAAGGGGAGCCAACAGCAGCCACATGCAAATCTCCCTCCCTCCAAACAACTCTCCCGTAGAGGGCATCTGCGCTCCCCTGGGGTGGCAGTCTGCGAGAAGTTTCCGTGTAGGTTCTCCCCAGGCTTAAACAGTTCAAAAGTTTTATTTCAAGAAAACTCTGGGGAGGGCGAACTGCAAGGGGGCTGCCGAGATTAGCCGAGGGATTCCGAACGAAGACGGAATGTTTCCGAACAGACACACCTCTCCGAAGAGCGTTTCCGGAGGGTTCCGAAAATGCCCGAGCGGGCCCCGGCGCCTTCATTGGCCATCACCGCGAGGGCTTACGAAGACCGGAAATATCCAAAGGTGCCGGGGCTAGGCTTAAATAGTTCACGCATTCACCAGTTCGTTCATAAAACAAACGTTCGTTGAGCGCCCATCATATGCCAATCACAGTGACAAGCGCTAGGTGAGCAATACCGGAGAGACAACGATGAGGCGTGGGTCCCAGGACCTCTCGAATTGGAGCCACTCAGAAATCCAGCGGTGAAGTTCCGAAAACTTCCGAACGGTCCTCGGAACACGCTCTCGGGTCTCTAACCGAAGAGTTCCGAATATTCCCGAGCGTTGAGCGATTGGTAGGCGGAAGTAGCCGAATATCATCGAGCCGCCTCGGGGGTGGGGACCGACAACTCCCGTTGTGCCCGCCCAGAGAGGAAGCGGAAATGCGTGTGCGGTATTAAAGGCGTCGTCCCGCCCCCTCCCAACCTCTTTCCGTCTCAGGTCGCCGCTGCGAGAGGAGGTGAGGGTCTGTCTTCTTGATGTGGCCGCCATCTCGCGCCCGCCGCCCACTCCCTCGCAGCCCTGTGCCTGCCTTCTCCCCTTGCGCCTCAAGGGTCCTTGGCGGACCCCAGCCCCACCCTCTGAAGTCGTTGTGAATTCTCAAGTTCTTTTCCGCTCACTCTCCCGGAAGTTAGTCTCGGCTGCCTGATTTCGGTCCCGCCGCCTTAGGTCACTTAGTCCCGCCCGACGGAGTTCTAGGTCGCTGTCTGCCCTCAGGGGTCTCCCATTCACCCACGTTCCCAGTCGCCGACTTCCTCTGCTGTCCTAGCGGGGCCCCTGGCCCAACGCCGGTTTAGTTCTCAGGGTCTGACGCTTTCCACGTGCCCGTTTCCCCGCAGCCGCCGCCATGTCTGCGCATCTGCAATGGATGGTCGTGCGGAACTGCTCCAGTTTCCTGATCAAGAGGAATAAGCAGACTTACAGTACTGTAAGTGGGGCCCGGATGCGTGGCTCCTGCGGGAGGAGGGTCCTGGGTCCCTGTCTCTGGGTCAGCGGGCGGGACCTTCGCATGTCTCCGGGTCCCATCTTCACGATTCCTTGTGCCGTCTCCTTCCCAGGAGCCCAATAACTTGAAGGCCCGCAATTCCTTCCGCTACAACGGGCTGATTCACCGCAAGACCGTGGGCGTGGAGCCGGCAGCCGACGGCAAAGGCGTCGTGGTGGTCATTAAGCGGAGATCCGGTGAGTTTTGTCTGGTTTGGGCCAGAGAGCGGCCCGTTTGCCGGGGCAGGGAGCTGTGATTTTTTAACTGTCAGGCAGGAGGAGTGATAACTGCCATTGCGGCGGGCATCCCTGGCGCCAGGGTGTTGGTCTGGGAACCGGTTTCGCTCTCGGCCGACTCTCTGTGAGCCGCGCGCGTCTGAGCCTGTGTCCTCAGCCGTAAAGTGGAGAAAAAAAAAAGGACCTGAACTTCCCCGGTGGTGGTTGAGAGTGAAGGCACGGGGTTGATGTTTTCAGATGAAATCCTGAAAGCGAGTCAGGGTGGCGATGGATGGCTTCATCCCACAGGTGGGAAAATTGAGGCACAATAGGGGAGGGTCCCTCACTGCCACACTTAGACGGGGACAGGCTGGGTTGGTCGCAGCCATTTGAGCCCCATTCCGCCTGTGTAGGTTAGAGAAGAGGTTTTGAGGACCCCACTCCATACGTTCTGCTGTCAGGTGCAGGCCGTTTTGAGGGAGTCCCTGAGTGTTCATGGGAGTCGGGGGCGACTGACGAGGAGTCCAGCTTCACATGTGTTCTTGCCAGGGCTGTGTTTTCTTTTTTTAGAGTGAGTTTTTCTCAGATCCTTGATTGGAACTGCTTCAGAGCCAAGGGTCCATTGATTCAATGGCAGCAGCAAACGCAGTCTTGGCTAGTGATCCTGCTGCTTCAGGGACACGTAGTCCAGAGAGCAGGCAATTGCTTGGCATCTGGGGACCCCGTTTTGGGGTGTCCTGAAAGCTTTCCCCTCTTGGATTGCCTAATACATGGGTGGCCCTTCCTAGACGAAGGGACTGGATTGAGTGAGGCTGGGCCTCAGCCAAGCTGATGTTTAACCACTGCTGTGGGGATGGGCCTGGGGTTCCTGGGAAGTTGTTCATAGCCATTGCCAGGAGCGTGGGCTCTGGCCAGACCTGGATCAGCTCCTAACTGAAGCAGCAGCTTCCTGGCATGAGAAAGGAGTGTTTTCGTGGTGGACAGAATTGGGCTATGAGTGTGACAAGCTGTGTCCTCAGTACTCTGTGATGAGTGAGCCTCTGTTAAATGGACAGGTGGGGAAACAGCTACCTGCTGGCCTGCCCGGGCGCCTGCCATGGGCCCGGGGTGCTCAGCTTCTCAGTGTGAGACTGTCCACACCTGCGAGTTGCGCTAAAGGTGCAGGTTAGGTGGACTGACCCCAGGACCTCCCTAACCCCCAACCAGGCCAGCGGAAGCCTGCCACCTCCTATGTGCGGACCACCATCAACAAGAATGCTCGCGCCACGCTCAGCAGCATCAGACACATGATCCGCAAGAACAAGTACCGCCCCGACCTGCGCATGGTGAGCTGGGGTTTGGGGGTCAGGCGGGGGGGTGGCCCGTGCTATGGGGAAGGGCCTCCCACTACTGGTTGCATATGGGCTGGAGAGGGATGGATTCTTGCTTTCAACCTACTCCCCACCCCCAGCATGGGCCTAGGGGACAGCTTGTGGAGTGTGTGAGCTGAGTCTTGCTCTGCCCCCACCCCAACCCCCCTCCAGGCAGCCATCCGCAGGGCCAGCGCCATCCTGCGCAGCCAGAAGCCTGTGATGGTGAAGAGGAAGCGGACCCGCCCCACCAAGAGCTCCTGAGCCCCCTGCCCCCAAAGCAATAAAGAGTCAGCTGGCTTTCTCACCTGCCTGGACTGGGCCTCCCTTTGTGAAGCGCTCTGGGGAGTTCTGGCCCTGTGTGTTGTCATTCAGGCCATGTCATCAAAATTCTGCATGTCACCTTGTCCATCTGGAGGTGATGGCTGGCCATGGAGGAGAGGTGGGGTAGCTGCCTTGGCCCTGGTTGGGGCAGGGGTCATTGTCTTCATGGAAAAAGCTTGCTGACTTGTTACCGAGACCTACTGTCCCATTGTGAGGTGGCCTGAAGAATCCCAGCTGGGGCAGTGGCTTCCATTGAGAAGAAGAAAGGCGTTTTCTAACCCAGAAGGGTGCGGGCTGAGGGCTGGGCCCTGGTGCTGCAGCAGGGTTTGGGGACTTGGGGTGTTCCCAAGACCTGGGGGACGACAGGCATCACCTGAGGAAGGTGACTCACATGCAGAGAGTGGGCACAGCCACGCGTGGAGGGGATGAGCTTGACTTGATGCAGCCTCGTCTCTGAGATGGGCAGCTTGCGGGTTAGTGACTCACACCCGTAAGGGAGGTGGCAACCCCAGGGTACAGCCAGTGGACATTGAACAGCCTTAGCATCGTCCCCCTACTCCAGGCCTCCAGCTGTCCCCATCCCTCCCCAGTCTCTCTGAGCTGGCTCTTGTCTCAGGTATCAGCTCAGTGGCCACTCCTGGGCCGCCCTGTCACCCAAGCTCTCCTGATTGCCCGGTCCTCCTGTTTCCTTTGGCCTGTTTGCTCCCTACCATTTATGACAGCTTTTGAGGCCAGGAGTTTGAGACCATCCTAGGCAACATAGTGAGACACAGTCTGTAAAATAAAACTACCTGGGTGCGCTGGTGTGTTGCCTGTGGTCCCAGCTCCTCAGAGGTTGAGTAGAGGCTGAGGTGGGCGCAGCACTTGAGCCAAGAGTTTGAGGCTGCAGTGAGCCCATGAGCCCAC